AGCTGACGTAAATGAACGTGACGACGTCGCGCGCTGCGGCTTCTCTTTATTTCTGCAAAATATTAGTCCGAACGTTTCTCACGTCGCTCGATGGAGCGCGGAGAGGAGGCGACGTGGCGATAAACCCCCTGCGGTATACGACCGGAAATAACATCCAACCTCGATAAACCCTTCCCCGTGTGTCTCGCGCCGGCCGGCCGGTCGGCCGGCCCGGTGTTTTCCGAGCAAATATAATGGAAACCGACGCGAGAGTTTTTTTCCCTGGCACAGACGTTCTGCGTTCGCTGCGAAGGAATCCTTTTATCTCTCCGGTCGTGCAACCAACGTGCGCTCACGTGGCCGATAGCGATAGGGCCGGTCGCCGGTGGGATCGATACCGCGCGAGTCGAATCAATAGCAGTCGCAGGTCTCCCCAGGTGCAACCTCTCCCACTTCTTCCCCTTCTTCGGCGGCTTTATCTTCGACCGTGGTTGACCCCCGCGTTACTATGCAATGCTCGGAGGAATTCGCGAGACTCGCGAGACCGCGCGTGCGATCGCGCACTCGTCGCGGAAGCTCGACAGCGGCAGATAAGCCTGACTTATCTCCCTCGGGAAAGTCGTCTTCGTCTTCACCACACCTTTCGTCTGATAACACATTGCGTATACAAGCGAAATTATTTCACAGCGCTAAATATGTTGAATATTCAACTGAGGATAATTTTAATTGCTTGGATTTTTTTGTGTGTGTAAAAGAATTGAATTTTATTGTTTTTCTTTCCAACTATTTTAACGCTTTATTTTACAAAGTGTTAATGTTATTGTTCCGAAAATAAACGAGAATAATTTTAATAATAACGGAACAAAATATTTGAACGAAGCGTTGAGTAACTACGCTTTCAATAACAGCGAATACCGCTTTCATTTATGCGCAAATGCTATTAGTGATTTTTCTCATTTGACTGGCAAATAGCTTGTTAAAAGACTTTTTTATGAGGAGCTCGTCTTGTCCCGACACGTCGGAGTCTGGAATCGCGTCTTCCTTTCTTTTTATGCGTCATTCATCGATCCCTGTTTTTCTCTTTGTACGAGCGTTTAATGTAACTGCTCGCAAGAAACGATCTCCCGGCTGCGCTCCCTGCACATTATGCCACGGCACGAGAGGCGAGATAGTAACCCAGTGACACGCGGAAAGAACGGCTATTGATCGCTCGATGCGTTTCTAACCGACGCCTATCGGGTCGTCTCGCAGTAAAGATCGGAACTGCAAGTCGAAAATAATGCAGATTTATTTTGTATGATTCGTTGGCGCTATTTTTACTCGTCTCGCGTGACAGATCAACATTTATAATAGATCTTTATGTAAGATGATGTAACTTATATCTCTTTTATGTCAAATAGCATGCGAATAAAAGATGCACGGAAAATAAAAATAGAGATTTTAGGAATAAAAAATTTTTTTTTGCAAAATCTCTGCTTTAGATATTTAATGTAAATGTCAGTTAATCTTTGCAACTATTTTGACAGCAGCATTTTAACACAATTTAAAAAAATTTGTCATGCAAATTAATTACTTGCGAGAACTGACTGACACGTCGGCATTTTAGTTTTATCGGCTCACACTCTGCTATTCGACGTAACGCACACGTCGGCTCATACAAATGTAGGAATTGCAGGGATAATTAACTGGGTAGAATTTATCTCATTTGCCAAGGCTCTCATTCCTCAGATACCTGGTGCTCGACAAGCGCTACGCGGCAGCCAGCACAGCAGCCAGCTGGCTCCGGATAAAACGACAGGCATGGGAGGGAGGAGGGATGCTTTTATCGGTCGTAAAACAACGTTAGGCGTCTGCGATAACGAAGGAGTCGCGAAATGCCGCGGGAGCGACAACGAGGTGCGGAGAAGAGCGCGCAATGAAATCCAATTGCACGTACACGCCATATTCGCAGAAACATGTACGTGATCGTCGTCGCAATTTTGTAATATCGCCGTTATATCGACGACAATTTAAAATGTCGTAAAGCGAAATAACGCTGCGGAGGTGACACGCGTAGCATTGAATAAGAATGTTTACGTCGGTAATTTTGGGAGATAATGAAATTTCGTCGTAAAGGAAACGGTGCTGAGGATCGCGAAGATTATTCCGGACATATCGTGAAACGAACCGATGTAAAATCCAGCAGCGCAATGTCGCATGTATATGATAAGCTTGTCAATCGCGTCAATTTTCTGTTTATTCTTGCGATAAATAGCAATACTTAAATTTTTATTACAATTCACCAAACTGTTGTGTTATTTTATTTTATAATACGCATTTTTTTTTTTCTTTACTACTCGTAGAGAAGTATTTCCCGCACAGATTTCTTATCGATATCCGAGTATACGTTTCACAAAAGACTTTTTTACAAGGAAATACCGCGATACAAGAGCTTCAGAAGTGGATAACAAAATTTTATTCCTCGAGTAATTTCAAGTGAATAGTATCCAGATTCATCGTTTAGTCGCCAAAGTGTTGAGCGTCGAGACCTAGTCGCGCGAGGAGATCGCAGCGCACCTTGTCGCGGCAGTAACTTTACGTCTCTCCAAGGTGACATCGACTTTCCATAAGCGACGTAACGAAATTCCTTTACGAGGCGAAACGCGCTGCGCGGGCGGGATGGTAAGGGCTTCGTGCAACCTGGACGCGTCATTTCCGACGGCTAGCGCTTCGCGAAGCGGGATGGAAGTTGATCGAACGACGAAGGATAAGAGGAAAGCAAGACGGAGAACGTTATCCGCCGCACAGAGTCGTAAACTTCGAAGGAGCTTGTAATAACGATAAAACACGACGAGGAAGCCGAGGAAGCTCTCTCTCGCTCCCGCTCGCTCGCTCGCTCGCTCGCTCATTCGCTCGCTCGTTCTCCTCCGCTCTATGTGTTCAAGCCAACGAAGTTAGGCCGGAAGTAGTAAACTCGCCCGGAACCCGGGAAGCCCGGTCGCGCGTTAACTTCGCTCGTCGGACATCCCTTAAAATATTATATACACGTGGTCAGACTTAGATTGGTCTGGGCCGTTGGGCTTTACGCCGCTAACCTGATACGGCGCTCAGTGCACCGTTTAAAAATCAATTTGCGCGCGGAAGCTTCGCTGATAGTGCGCGCCGCTATTAATTTCCTGCAACGCTGTATCCGCGCGATATCTGATATTTTCACTCCTTCTTCGCTCTCATTGTTCTCTTTGCGCTCAATAATACGAACGGCTGACAATATTTCATTACTTTAACCTGAAAGTCCGCCCGAGTCACCGCACAGATGAGTGCGCAGACGGAAAAGATATAGAAAATACAATTCTATTCGCATTGTGCTCGGGAATGAAAAATTAAGTGACGTCGAAGGAAAAGATGTGCTGCTTTGCGCCGGAGGACAGGTTTCTAAATCTCCAGGACATCGGGTCACCCCGGTGTCAAGGTCAAGCCATAACGAAAGCCTATCGCGAGAGCATTGCGGTCATTCTCTCTGTTTCTCTCGTTTCGGAGAGCAAGAGGGGATGAGTAGCTTACAGAAGGAATAGGGCGAACCGAGGAGAGAGAGCCGGTTGAACATCGATCGCCGGCCGCGTTACGGGCGTATGCTCGGGGCCGCACTGGCTTTCCCGGTTTCCGGGGGTTCCCGAAAGCACCCTCGAGTTCCCGCTCTACGGTAATTCTCCGGTTGATGAGAAACTCTCCCCGTCTCTCTCGCTCTCCCCCGTAATTCTCTCCTCCGTACGTACTCGCGCCGCGAGCGTCTATTTATTTTAACGACCGACTAATCCACTACGTGCGTTCCGGCCTTTTGCTCGTTATCAGCGGCCCGAAGAGCGTGTCGCTCATGCGACTCGAATTATCTTTCGGATCTTTCGATCACCTCGGCGTGCGGTATTTTGAACTTATTAGAAATGTGTAGGTGTGTTCGTCTGATTATCTCTGATCGCTAATACGAAGCCAGGTGTCGCAAATGCCCGACCCGCAATTTCCAATATTCGAAACGCGAGTTTAATGAGTATGATTTTCGAATAAGGGATTCGAGTATTGGAAAATTGCGGGTTATAGACGATTACGGCACCTCAATTGTACTCAATTATTACCAAGGTGTCTCGAGAGCTATCCGGACATTATCGCGATCCACTCCGTGCGATACCCGAGGTTTCTCTCTACCGTCGATTGCGGAATCGCGGTTCACGGAAAGAAGAGTTACACGGGTGAAGTTACTGCCGGAGAGGGCGGCGATGAGTTATCGCGTGCGATTGTTACCGGCTGTATCGCATCCGGGCCATAATTCCACGGAAAACTCGTGGGGCGCGGTTTACTGCGTGGAGTGAGAAAAGGAACAGGAAGCGAACTCGTTCTCCTTTCTTGCGTCCGCAGGACGAGTTATTTACCGAACTGGAAACCGCCCGCGCATCTAATCCCAAATAAAAGCGTTCGGCGGTAGCCCGTAACGGCTCTTCCCTCATCGCGGCTGCTCGTAAAGGACGGGCTTCCGCCTGCCAGGAGATAAACGTCGAAACGTTCAAACTCGCGTTCATACTCCAGTTATGGATAGACATATTTATCCCGGGGTCATTGAGCACGCCGAAACTTAGGCGCGCAGACCGGAAAAAGGTACATCCGCGTAACGATAAATTTCCCTGAAAAAATTATACCAATTTTTTTTTTTTTAACCGAGGGCGCCGCTTTCCAGTCTGGCAGCGTAACAGCGCAAATATCTGTGGTCGGTGCATCGAATGTGTTAGGATGACTAGGATAACGCCCTGCGGCGTTACGAAAATATTTTTCGGAATACGCGTATATACATTTTCTGTGCCGAAAAAATTTATAACAAATTTTTTACGATGACATACGAGCTTTTATTAAAAGTTTTCAACAAAGGTCCTTTTTGACTTTGACAATAACCATATCTCGTTCCTTTATTAATTTCAGATTTCATTTAAGCTATCTTGATTTAAGCTCTCTAATTTTTCGAATATGAACGCTCATCAATGTATTTTTTTTTTTTGCAGGAATCCATACGATCACGCGTGGCGATGGACTTCACCGGTAGTGTGGGGAGGATAGTTGAAGATCCCAAAGAAGCTAGAGACATAGCCGAAAATGAAGGTATGGTCTGGCGACGAAGATGGCGACCGTTCTCGCGAACACCACCGGGATGCGCCATGATGAGGCTGCATGGACTCGACAGCGGCATACATGTTCTTCAACCTTGGTTCCACGGCAGCCTCAAGAGAGAGGTCGCGGCGGCTATTATAAGGGATCACGGCAGCGTCGATGGGTAAGTTCTACTCATATCAATTAATCGATTTTCGTTGGAAAAACATGAACTAAACTTTGGGGCTGTAAATAGATCTCAAGGTTTTGCTCTCATCATTTAATGTGAATCTGTGTCAAGATATTTTAAATTATATAAAATTCGAAATCTAAAACAATTTTTCACTGTATTTTATTACTGGTGCATAAATTTTTATACGAAATTAAATATTTGAAATCAAGAAAATAGAGAAAAAACGGCGTCTGATAAAACTTTTGCGATAAATCCACTGAAAATTAGATTAAAATTATAAATTATTTTACATGCCATTTTGTATGACGAAAAATTAACTTTACGAGATTAGAATCTTTAAAGCTGTATTTTCGTTCCTTCTCAATGAATCGCTCGATCGCGTTCGCGATTCGATTGACAGATCGTGCCACGGATTGCAACGACGGCAGTTGCGTCGTAATGGCACTTCCCGAAAATCCCGATCACATCGATATTAGCGATGATAACCTTCATCATTCGAATGGGAGAGGGTCCCGTCTCGAACCGGTTGAGAGTTACGACCTCGAAACTGCCTGCGCGCGGGCGACACGCTTGGCTGGCGCTTGCGTAATCTTCATCGCGATTACTAGGTGCGCAACTAAGTTTCCGGGTTTTACACATGGATGGCGCTAACGATACATGTAGTCGATATACATGTCTAAAGTTGTGTTTTTTTATTAACTTGGACATCTGTCAACAATAACCAGTCATAATACCAACAGATATCGCAACGCAAAAATATTTTTTCTAACAAGAAAGATGTCGAGTTTTGTGCCAAATAAACAGCATTTGCGGGAAGCTTTGCTTTTCTGCTTCAACTTGAAACAAAATGCAGCTGAAGCACGTCGTTTGCTTGAAAAAGCCTACGGCGAACATGCACCATCGAAAACTACCTGTGAAGATTGGTTTAAACGCTTCAGAAGTGGCGATTTCGACACTGAGGACAAGGAGCGCTCCGGAAGACCAAAAACATTAGAGGACGCCGATCTGCAAACGTTATTGGATGAAGATGATACACAAACACAAGATCAACTTGCGGAGGCATTAAACATGACTCGCCAAGGTATTTCCAAACGTTTACATGCCATGGGAAAAATTCAAAAAGAAGGAAAATGGGTGCCGCATGAGTTGACTGAGAGACAGATGGAATATCGAAGAGCCACTTCCGAAATTTTGCTTTTGCGGCATGAAAGAAAGAGTTTCTTGCATCGAATTGTTACTGGCGATGAGAAGTGGATATATTTCGAGAATCCCAAACGCAAAAAATCGTGGCTTTCACCTGGCGAAGCATCAACATCGACGGCACGGCCAAATCGCTTCGGAAAGAAGACAATGCTTTGCATTTGGTGGGACCAGAAAGGAATCGTGTACTATGAGCTGCGAAACCGGGCGAAACTGTCAATGGGGATCGCTATCGACAACAATTGATAAATTTGAACCATGCATTGCTCGAAAAACGGCCAGAATGGGACACGAGACACGAACGAGTGATATTGCAGCACGACAACGCTCCGTGCCATCGCACTTCCATCGTCCAGGACACCATCAAAACGCTGAAATGGGATCTGCTACCGCACCCGCCGTATTCACCAGACCTGGCCCCTTCC